TGACTCCCGAGGGCGTGCGAATACCAGACATCGTTGCCTCCCTCGGAGCAACAACGCTTGTCTTAGACGCACAGGTAACCAGCGATACTTCGTGTTTATCAGCGCCACACAATAGCAAAGTCAATTATTATAGGAATAATAACAATTTGATATCCCAGATCCGAACTGTTACTCGCTCATCTACAATTCATGTCTTAGCCGCTACATTATCTTGGCGCGGAGTTTGGTGTCCAGAATCGGCGAACAAGGTATTGGAATTGGAGGTTATCAGGAAATGCGACCAACCTGTCCTATCAACGAGGGTAATTATAGGTGGACTTGCGGCGTTTAGAGCATTTAACCGATCTACGTCGACGACAAATATGAACCGCGTGCACGCCATACGTCGTGGTATTGGCTAGCTCGAAGCACTACAGGTGTCTGTCTCTCGCTCTATGTCTCTCATAGAGAAATATATAAATTTTTTTAATTTACTTTCTTCTTCTTTTTTTTACCGTTACTCAAAAATGAGTATAACTTAATTTATTTTGTTTTTATTTTCTTTCTCTCCTTCTTCCTATTTACCTTCTTCGTCTATCTCCCAATCCCCCCTTCTTTTTTTTAACCCCTTCTCTTCGCGTCGAGGTTTGTCTGCTCTCTTAGGCATAATGCGAACATGTCTTTTCTACACATTCTGTCATCATGTGATATAAAATAGCCAAATGTCCCACAACCTAATGATAGACGTTAACCTGGTCGTAAAACTAGATTTAGACAATTTCAATTTGCAAAATGTCAAGACCTGTATCACAATTGCCCCAAAAGATTGGCTGATATGGTCGCCAGTAATGACGTATCTCTATTTGATTCATCGTTGCCGCCGCCTAAACGAGAGGTTGAGACTCTATATACAGAACTGCGGGGCCAGCCCGGTCCTCATAACGTTATTGATGTACGCTATGAACCTACAATTGAGTCGCGAAATATTTTTAGACCTTTTACTATACCAGAAGTACAAAAAAGTTAAACAAAATAGCTAATGCATCAGCTCCGGGTATAGATAAAATAAAAAAATACTATTTGCTTATCGCAGGAGTCGACGAAATCCTGACGGCTCTGTATAATCTTTTAATATTAAAAAGTTTTTATCCTGAAGACTGGCGCAATAATAAAACAATTTTAATACCTAAGTCTGGAAAAAACCAAAATGACGTAAAAAACTGGCGTCCACTTACTACCAGCTCCATGCTTGTCGGACTGTTCTTCGGCCTTCTAGACTCTCGCCTCAGAGAATTCATCACGTAGCATCCGCGCCAAAAGTGTTTCGTGCCCCTTAATGGTTGCTTTGCCAATGTTTCCGCACTTAATGCTGCGATTGAAGTGGCAAAATTGGACGACGGTGTATGTGTGGTTACAGATATCGAGAAAGCTTTCATTACCGTTCCGCATTCTTCCATTACTGTCCGGTACGAGAATAATGACAGCCTAAAAGAAGCGCACGAGGAAAAAATACAAAAATATGCACCCATCATGCCAAAGATTAGGGAAATGTTTAAACAGCAAAGAGCCAGAGTAATATCTATTGTAATTGGCTCAAGAGGTGCGCTTCCAGCTACCACAAAAAACGAACTGCGCCGATTAAGCATAAGAAAAGATAACCTCATCACTATTTTGCTAATTGCATTTAGAAGTTCGATCGAGATTTAGAATAAGTTTTTAGATTAGGGTTAACAACTAATTAAAATAATGATCTCTATAGCGCGTATATATTTCTTATAATATTGCTACATTGTCATTTTCATTTACCATTATACCAAAGATGCTTGTTTTTGTTTCGTTTTATCATCAATCGCTGCGTTTCCTTTTTGTTATCGTTTTTGTTTTGCATTTTTCCTTCGTTTCATTTTTCCTATTTGTTATTATTCTTTCCACTCTAGTGGTTTTATCTCTTTACTTATACATGTATTATATCTGTATATCTTTTTTGTATTATTGTACACGCCAAGTACGGGGCATACCGTGCACAGTCCGCCCATCTAGAATGGGCGCAAGATACTAGCCAAATGCCTCGTCATCTAATTAGTGACGCGCATGAATGGATTAACGAGATTCCCAATCTGTCCTTATCTACTGCCCTACCCACTGCGCCTGCGTGGAAGTGCTAGCTCCCGGCATTTCAGTATACGTCGTCTCCTGCTACTTTCAGTTCAGCGACGAAATGGAAGAGCACCTCAGGCACCTCGAAGTGGTGTTTCGTTCCCTGAGGGGGGAGAGACTCCTCGTTTCTCTAGACGCTAATGCACGATCGTTACTCTGGGGCCCATAGATCAACGACGAAAGAGGCGCCCTATTCGAGGGGCTCATTCGAGCATTTGCAATGGAAGTTGTGAACGACATGTCGCAGCCGGAAACCTACTGGACGCCAAGGGGTTCATCGTATATCGACGTTATCGTGGCGTCCCCCTCCCTGCTTTGTATCGTCGGAAGCTGGAGGGTGAGGTGCGACTGGACGAACAGCCATCACAACGCCGTGGATATCGGCCTAAGAGTACCGAAAGCCGCCTCAGTTGACCGATGTGCTGATAACTCCCGGTTCGACACCAGTCAAGCCGACTGGGAACTGTTCATTGAGAAACTGGCAGATCTATCCGGATCCATGATAGAGACTTTGGGGCTTGACTCCGCCGAAGAAGTCGAAAGAATGGCAGTGACACTCACTGAAGTCATGATCGACTCCTGTTGAGCGTCAATGCCGAAAGAACATGTTTTCAGGAAATCTATCCCGTGGTGGACACAAGAACTCACATAGCTCAAAAAACGAGTCTACCGTCATAGAAGAACATTCCAGCAGGAACTGGACGCACACATTCGCTTGCTGAAAAAGCAAGAATATCGCAAAGCCCTACGTGACTGCAACAAAACAATTAAGCGAACCAAACGCGAAAGTTGGAGAAAATTCGTCTCTACGGAAGGAAATCAGAAACCCTGGGGCACCGTGTACAAATTCCAGACAAAGAAGATCCGGGTAGAAGGGGCGCTGAGCACTCTAAACCGCAATAGTGAACATACGATGAGCCTGGAGGAAACGGCAGAACAACTACTCGACGCCCATGTCCCCGACGATATTGAAGAAAACGACACACCCGCGCAGAGAAACGTTAGGTCAGGTACAACCTCGGCCCTAGACACGGAAGATACTCCTCCCTTCACGGAGGAGGAAATTGAAGTAGTCGTGAGAAGTTTTAAGAACAATAAAGCTCTAGGACCGGATCTCATCGAGGTCCGCGCTCTGAAGACGGCTGTCCGAACAATCCCCGAACAGATAGCCCGACTCTTCAACGGATGCCTCCGGTGGAGTGTATTCCCATCAGTGTGGAAAGAGGGTACCCGCGGAATCCTCCTGAAGGGGGAAGACAAGTACGAAAGGGACCCAAAATCGTTTGGCCCCATCTGCCTCCTCTCTGTTGTAGGGAAACTCTTTGAAAAGCTTCTGAAGAAGCGACTTCACCAGACAGCGTTGGCCCCGGAGCGGATCTCCGCCAGACAATACAGGTTCACGCCCGGAAAGTCGACGGAGGACGCAATCGTGGAGTTGCGTCGAGCGGTCGATGTCTCACAGCATCGATACGTCACGACGCTGCTCTTCCATATCTCGGGCGCCTTTGACAATGTCCGGTGGCCCCTTGTTTTAGACAGCCTTCGTAGAAAACAGTACCCGCGCAACGTATACGAGGTGATACGCAATTATTTCAACGATCGCCGAGTCACAATAAAAGTCGCGTCTGGAAAGGTCTCCAAGCAGGCCACGAGGGGCTGCCCGCAGGGCTCCGTCCTCGGTCCGGACTGCTGGAACCTTATGTTCGATGGTCTCATAGCTCTCCTAGAATCATTAGGTTTTTGGGTTATTGCGTACGTTGACGATCTGCTAGTCATCGTGTGCGGTAACAGCAGGCGAGAAATAGAGGTAAATGGTCAGCACGTTGTAAACATTATCCTGGATTGGTGTTCTTCGGCCAAGCTCGAAATCTCAGCTCGCAAAATGGAGGCTTTCGTACCCAGGAGCGGCTGGGTTAAGAGGGCGCGGATAGGTCGACAGGGGGGAGCTCGCCCGGATAGAAAACGCAAAACGGTTAGGAACAAAAAAACCGATCTCACAAGCCGACCACCGAGCATCAAAATAGGAAACTCTAATATAAAGTTTAAGCAATCAGTACGATACTTAGGTGTGCATTTCGACAGCGCAACGATTGTACACACTCACAGCCAATATCTAGACGCTAAAATGGGTCCTATCTTTGCCAAACTGAGTAGGCTAGCGAGGTGTCAGTGCACTCCGCTTCGACGCTCTATCCGTAATCTACAAGGGAGTCTTCGTCCCAGTGCTGACGTATGCCGCTGCTGGATGGACCGATTTGTGTACGGAGGGAGACTTGAAGACGCTCCGCTATCTGCAGCACCGGATCCTGATCACGGTGACTTCGGCTTACCGTAAGTCATCGTGGGATGGTCTAAGCGTGGTGGCGTGCACGGAACCAATTGACACACTCCTATAAAAGTACAGGGCCCTTTTCCATCTTCGCAGGAGAAAAGATGCAGTTATAGGGCAGTTACTAATTCCAGCCGGTATGGAAAATGCAAAAGAACGCGTTACTGAAGAAGCATACTCTGTGTGGCAAACGAGATGGGAATCTTCACCACGCGGCCGCACCACGCATGCCTTCTTCCCGAATATCCGCGATAGAATAGTAGCCAGATGGGTAAAACCGGAATACTACAATACACAGGTACTCACGGGTCACGGCAACTTCCAGTATCGCCTCTTCAGGTACTGCGTTGTTGATGACGAGTCCTGCGTTTGCGGTGAAGCAGTCGACAGACTGCTGTCGACTGTAGAACACTTCCTTTTAGAGTGCCGCATATTTGAACCTCAAAGAGAGGCCCTCCGCGAATTAGTCTCAACTGGCCAGTGAAGTTGACGCGAGGCAGCACAATTCCTCGTCTCATCTCCAGAAACCTTCTCCCTACTGGCCGACTTCTGTGCCGAGTCGCTCTTCGTCAAAAACCATCTGGAACCCGAACCAAAACTATAACAAACGGTTAGAATCAGCTGTCGTCTATTTACTTATTAGCCACCTTCAAGACATGACTGTTAGTGAATGTATTTAAGTGTGAATGATCGGTGCGTGCATACTACGGACTATTAGGTTAAACCTAACATCCCCGCAGTCCATAAAAACACCCACCCTTATCCCAATCCCCTCCCCCCGCCCTATCCCGATTTCCCGTCGCCACTAACAGGGTCTCGGCGCGCGTACAGGCG